GAGAAGCTAAGATATTTGCATTATGCACTTCGACAGGAAGCCTCTTGAAATATATATGTGTTAACGATGTTGGTAGACTGTCAGAACTGGAAGGAAACTCTCTAGATAAATTGGAAAAATAGCGTTCAGTTTCGTCGTCGCACCTGCCACTTCTTATCATATTCAAAGCTTCTTTGAACTTCACTTCCGATTCCTCTTGCCGTAAAATTTTGGTTAGCTCAAACCTATGTGGAAACACTTCTCCGAACAACTCTGATTCATACACTGGGTCTCCATTATCTACCGCACTCTTAATTGGTTTTAGTTGCCAGAAATCTCCGACCAATATGACTTGAAGCCCGCCAAATGGAAAGGGGTTGCTTGATATTTCCTGGTGCAACAGATTTACCAGGTTAAATAGACGTCGACTTGACATAGAAATTTCGTCCCAAATTAACACGTCAATGTTTTTAATCTGCTCAATGATGTTCCCCCGCTCAAGGCAACGCTCTAGTAACTTATATTGTGGCAATTCAGCCGTTTGCAATCCGTAGTGAGAGTGGACAGTTTTCGCCACCCCATTGTACTCTTCGCAGGCTATTCCACTTGCACAAACAATCTGGCATTTCTTTCCTTCTTCAGTCAACTTTGATCTGATCTTTTGTACCACCGTTGTTTTTCCAACGCCAGCTCTGCCAAATATGCAAACGTTGTGGCCAGTTGTGGCAAAATTTAAAATATTCAGTTGCTCCGATGTTAATTTTGTGTATGCCATGTTACTCTTAGCTTATTACCTTCAAATGAATAAAAAATTACTTCACTTATTGACTATAAAATTAAGCTGCAGTATGACTTCTTTGAAGCTCGGCTAGTAAAACTAATTCATATAGAATGGGATCAAATGTTGTTCAGAAAAGGTGTTAGCCAGTTATAATATTACGGATAGGGACTATGTCTGTTAACTTTCAAAAAATTATAATTCAAGCAACGCGCTTTTAGTGTATGCCTTTATACGTGTTGATATTTTAATTATCGCAAGCTGATCATTTTTTGGGCGATGTTATTTAAGCTCGCGCTCTCGGACATGCGCAATCGAAATTCAAAAACGAACACGCTGTCGTACGAGTTATGGAAGTTTATTTTTCAAGTTTGTCGTTTTGAAATGATTTTCTTTTCAAGTTATTTAAGCGATCAGGATCCTGTTTGGCATCGCAAGTGAGGTAAATACAATGTTAAGCTGTTTAAGCTTCTTGTAGTATAGCATAAAGTTTTTTTTTCATGGTTTTTTTTAGCAAAATAACTTAACTTGACCTCATGAGTTTTTACTGACTATTCGAATCTTTTGGGGCCTTTTGTATATACAAAATTTTGATCACTCGTATGCAAATTAACAATAAACTCGTTTTTAAGTTGTTTTAAACAATCTAGCTTACGTTTTGGAAACATATTGTTTGAAAAATAGCTGTTTTCGAAAGAAATACTCAAGACAACAAAATGTTTTAAGAACATTTCGTGTGCAAGGGAAAAGTTTATTTTTTAAAAAAGGATCCATATGATTTAACTGATGTTTTTTCAAGGTAACGATTTGATGGTTTCCTGAAATTGTAATGGGAACATTTGAGGAATACCCACCGGCTGTGCTTTTCGCATGTGTATTAAAATGGATTGGTATTAAATCAGTTTCCACATGTGTCAAGGATGAAGGGAGATCACGCTTTATAAGTATAGTTGGCGTTTTACTGGACCTGTCTTTTTCTCTGGATTGTCTTGTCGACAAGTCTTTTGGAAAGTCGAAACTATAGTTTGCAGGGGACGTTTTATATAATGGTCTGACATGAAATTCTTACAAGCGAGGTTAGCAAACAATATATTTTTATAATGAGTTTTGTCAGTCAAACTGCGAATTGCGGCTGAGTGCATGTTTATAATAATATGTTGACTTTATTTGATAAACTGCAAAATTTGGGTAACAAACCTTAATTCTATACGCTTTTGTCGCCACTATATATATACTGATATATGACAAACGATATACAAACTACATTTACGATCTTCCTGGTCAAGGACAATGCCAATGGCAATGTATTTCAGAGTTATATAAAATGCTCTATACATTTCGAAATTTGTTTTTTAAATGCACTTAAATTACAATGAATGTGGGTTTTCTACAGCGTTGTAATATTTGACGGGATATAAAGGATAAAATTATAAGAATTATAGCTATACTTTGCAACATGCAAAACAACAACAATGACGAGCAATTAGTGAAATGCAAACCGAGAAAGAAATGCAAAATACCAAGCAAAAGACATCGAAATTAAAATATATTTACTATATAAATGCAGTTATTCAAACGTAAAAATATAATTTTACTTACCATATCGTTAATTTGAGCTGGTCTACAGCAGGAGTTTTATTTATTTGTCGCTGCATTTCCAAGGGAAACTATAGTATTATGAAAAAAAGACTTCGTAATAAAAGCTTTCCACGCCTGAAACGGCATTAAAAATTATAAAAAAAAAATATTTATACTCACTGAAGCGTTGTAGTTAGTGTTTCTTTTCCGTTTTCACATTATTTTCAAACGAGCATGGCAGTTTTGTGTTCTATAATTGCAATCTTTTTAAAAATTGTGTGTAGTGTACGACGTTATCCTCTATGTTTCTTGTTCATTTGTTTTTACATATTCCGGCTCGTCGGCATGAAAAACACTCAACAACCCCCCCCTGAAATGGATTTTCCTGTGATTGACGTAAATGTTCAAAGCCAATGAAATCTCGCAGTCGTCATTCAAAAAAAATACCAGTATCAGGTAACTTGCATCCCGCATAGTCACAGCGAAAATTCAACAAAATTGATAAAAAAACTGTGCTTATTTTTCGTTATTTTCGATGTTGTTTTCGACAAAAAATTGACTGGCAGTTTAGTGAAAGTATCTGAGCTTACTTTTATGTTGTTTAGTTTGTGTTTTATTGCGTGTTTTTAAAGTTTTTGTGCTATTTCTCCAGGGCTACGTGCGTATATAGGAATTTAGCTGCCAACCTTAGCATATATTACTATAGGGATACGTACATGATCTGACCGCGCGTAAACAATGCAGTCGGGGACTAAGTAGTAGTATGATTTTATTGAACAGAAATGAATACATGATCTGACCGCGCGTAAACAATGCAGTCGGGGACTAAGTAGTAGTATGATTTTATTGAACAGAAATGAATAATAACACTGATTGTTGGGCTACCTATGGTGGTACTACGTTGTCAAGGCCATATTTGAATGTTGTCAAGGTGTTGTTGGTCAGTGTAAAAGGCATTGCTATCAGAGTGCTTGCTTAGTTAAAACTACTCGCAAAATAACATCTTTGATTTCAAAATTCTTGAATCAAAGTTTTTACATTTTGCTTCTAAATAATAATTTGGATTGTTTATTTTCATAGTCCTCTCATATCCCACAATACTTGTCAATCACAAATTCTGTTAATTGAACTTTGTTTACTTTTTACCCTTCAATGCCTGACAGTGACCTGACAACATTCAAAAGTGGCCTTGACAACATGTATTCACAAAATAATTGGAGTTCCAAGGCAGAGTGAAAATCTCAATCTTACTATTATACTTAATAATATTTTACTTACATCTCATCGTCAACATCCATGAAATCTTTGTCATAAAAACTGTCGTCACACCATTCAAAATGATCCATATCATCCTCAGCATCATACATAGATAGCATATTCTGAACTGACCAAATCCGAGTTGCTTGTTTATAAATTAAAAATATGTTAATGCAGTGCACAAATGGAAAAAGTATTAAAATATTATATCTACTGTAGCTAACTCTGGATATTTCCAAGTGTAGTCATAGTATCATAATTTATGCACTTGATAATACTATAAAGTAATGTTCACCTTGTTGTTTCTGAAGATTCAGATCTCTCACTTTTCGATTCTGATGACAGCCTACCAGGAAACATTCCAAATTCAGGGTTGATGCTTGTGCACAGACTCTCAATTCTGCTAACATCCAAACTGGGACAAATCGACATGTCTGCAACATCTACTGTCCTGAAAATAGTGAGCGAATACCGTAAACCCCCGATTATAAGCCCTGGGCTTATATAAATTTTGTAAGTGTTTTTGATGGGCTTATACATGGGTTTATATACCTTACAGTATATACAGGGGGCTTATACATGGACAACATTGATAACCAAGTATTTATTGTTAATTATAAACATGAAAAGAAACAAAAATTATATTATATTCAATATGTGTGTGTGGGGGGGAATATTCGGGGGGGGAGCTTATATTTGGAATGGTGTGGGAAAGTTCTATTTCTATCTAGAATCTACTTATCAATCTCAGATTCGTCAGCCAGAATAGGAGACAGATGAATATCTTCATGAAGTGGTGATCTTCTAACAAGTCGTGATGGCGTAGACTGGACAACATGACCTGATGGAACAGAAAACAAATATCTGTATTATAATTAAAATTCATTCCAACATTTATCCACTGGCACTGTAAATAATAAGCATACATGAATAGAATACAAATACTAAAATACAAAGATTCCATTTCCTTCAAATCATAGGTGTAGGAAGAATAATCATGGCGTATAATTTATAATAAACTCACCTTGCCCTTGGGATTGACTCGATGGAGTTGAGCATTGTTGATTGTTTTGACGCACTCTCATTTCTTCACACATTTGCAGTAGGTGACTAGCGCATTCACTATGGGTTTTCTCAGCCATTCCAACCAAATCTTCTTGTACCTGCCACTCGTTATAGACGTCCATTCGTAGGCCAATCCGGTGAACTTCAATGCCTAGTTTTGGCCTGCCGCGCTTTGGCAACGATGGCGATGCCATTTAATACTGTATTAATTTTATAAATGTGGTATTTTTTTGCTTCAAATATAACACAAGCCAAATTATAAAAATATTATAATATAGAAGATGAATAAAAATTACGAAGATGGACAAAAATTATAAAAATAGTATAACATATACGAAGATGGACAATAATATTTGATGATTACTTCGCAATACAATGTTCTCGTGAATTTCTCTGCCAAAAAAATGGCCGCCAGAGCAAATGAAGCGCGCAGTGCATGCCGGTTGGCACACATTCTTTAAGAACCCTGAGCTCATGAAGGCATACGATCTAAGTGGAATGAAAGGATATCTTCCAGTTAGTATTCTGTCCTTCAATGGGGCCAATTACGGAGGTGGAACTTATGTGAAAGCTGGATGGGTAAACTACTCGAATTCCGATCATCTTCACTTCATACCGTATAAGTCGGATGGTATCACACAGGTCGGAGTACAGTTGCTTATGGATAGTGTGGAAAGTTATGTTTATTCTGTGTTGGGAGCTCAAGCTAAAACAAGGTGGAATATTGTCAGTAGTCAATTAGGTAAGTCCCTCCAAACGCAACAGGCTCTTAGAAGAATTGTTAATGACACCGTGGTGCAGACTAATGTGAACGTTACTATTAGCAATATGAGGACCGCTATAAGGGACACTAATGTGATACTGAATATGGCAATCAATCCTAACATAATACTGATTCCCTCTAGGCTAATCACAGGCGGCCCAATCTCAGAATGAATGATCAGGTGTTGCGGGTTTTTAACAGTTTTTATAAACAAATTTATAATCAACCAAAACTATTTTAAAAACATTTTTAAATTAGTCAAATATATACATTTTAACAATAAAATATAGTTGACATGATAGTATAATACCTTTACATTCTTTTAATTACTCCA